AGGGGCCAGCAGATAGCATAATGGTTACATTGCTGGATTCCCCATGGTCAATCACAGTTCAAGTCCTGGACTCAATGGCCTAAAACTCATGCCAGGTGCATGTGTGTGCATGTCTAAAATCCTGGGAGGAGAAGGGATTGGGGCATGGCCATCCCCCTTGGGGAGTGATTTCTCACTTTCCCTCTTACTGCCTCTGTTCCCCCACCCTTCAGTGCATATGCCTTAAGGCAAAAATAAATAAATAAATAAATAAATAAATAAATAAGGAAAAGGAAGTTTAATGAGGCTCTATGTATAGAAACAGTACTGATACAGGAATCGGTGTTGTTTATGAAAAACCGCAGGCCAGGCCATGGAAACACTTTTACAAGCTGGAAACATCTCTGTGCTTTTCCACCAAACCCTGTCCCTTTGATTAACACTGATTTTTCATACCCCTTATGTTTCCCAACTCCTGTGGAGCCTGATAACTAAGGAGCCTGCTTCCTATGTGCTCTAATTTCCATAAGTCCAGCTAAATGGAGTGCCTTGTGCAACAGTATTCAGAAGTAATGTGCAGGCCTAATTATGATATCACCAATTACAGGAGATAAGAGGAGAGTTTCCTCCAGATAATTTAACAGCCTACTGTCTGGTTCCGAGCCTCTGTTCTCAGAGGTAATTAATGCCCATAGACCCATCCTTTCTTTCTTTTTTTTAAGAATTATTTATTTGAATTTTATTATTGTTGCTATTTGTTTATTTTTAAAATTGGACCAGAAAGAGATAGAGAAAGGAGAGTGAGAAAGCAAGCTGCCAGGTCCAGGACTCAAACCATGATCAGCCATGTAGGAGTCCAGTGTTTCAACAATACCACCTGCCAGCCCGGAGCCACCCTTTCTTATCAAGCATCTTTTATACAAAACAAAACAAGAAGTGTTGGTGGCATAGTGGTGAGCATAGCTGTCTTCCAAAACAAAACTAGAAACAAATACAAGAATTAAATCTCCATTATTTATGGGCTTGAAAGGCACAAGCACTTCAAATTTTTTTGTGGGGGAGAGGTTTTTGCTATAGGGTGTGTGCTTGCCAGAAAGACAGAGGCAGAGAGACAGAAAGGGAGAAATCACCCCCTTAGCGGGGATAGCCATGTTCCAATCCCTTCTCCTCATCCTCTTCTTGGGATTTTTGGCACGCACACACACACACACACACACACACACACACACACGCCTGGTGTGAGTTTAAGCCACCGGATACAGGACTCAAACTGTGGTCAACTACATGGGAGTCCAGTGACATACCCATTACACCAACTGCTGGCCCCACGCCTCAAACTTTAACATGAAGTCAATCAAGCACATTTTTCAGAAGTATATGATGTTGTTAATAAATTCCTCTAATTTTGGGGACCAAAAAGAAAGGCAGAAAAGAAAAGAAAAGTTAAAATAATTTAAAAAAAAAAAAAAAGAGGAAATCTTGTTTAATTGAAAGGTTTTCTGGTTACTCAAAGTATTTATACAATTAAGAATCACCAAACAAAATATCAAGAGATGAAAAAGCTGAAGCAGGGAAGGGAGAGACAGGGTCTGGAGGAAACTCTTGAACGGTCTGCTATGAAAAATCCTCTCTGACTTTAAGTGATGTGGCACTTTGCAGAAAAAATGAACTTCCATATCTATTTGTGGTTTTTTCAGTATAAACATGTAGGAAGAGTGGAGGGCAAAATAAGAGACCAGAATGGATCTATGAAAACCACAATAGCCCAGAACAGATTAGACGAGGATACAGACTGGTATCGATGATTCTGATGGCACACTGGGAATTTCCACATTCCTTTATGATGGCACCTTGACTTTCTTTCCCAGATCCAGTCATGAGATGGGGTGTCTGCAGTTATGCCTTACAACTCTCCATTTAATTTAGAGGACTGCTCTACAACAGATAATAGGTTCATAATTCTGGATACTCTAAACTATGGATCATACACTACCATAACTCTTTGTCTACTTGAGTGGGAACTCCCTGAAGGCAGAGGTTGACTCTTAGTTACTTCTGTATCTGTAAACCTGAAAAGTGTCTGGCATTCAGCAAATGCTTGGTGAATGTTTTTGAGACTGACTAAATTAAAGACTTAATAAACAGGAGTCAAATGATAAATGCAATGCTCTGTGAGGCTGATCAACATGGGGTGGTCCTGGTTCCTGTCTGGATACCTCCCTGAGTATGCTAGGCCTGGCAGAGGCTAGGGGTGGATAGAAGTAGCAAAACCCTGCTGCTTCTGCTCTCTCTCTCATGGAAGAAATAAGGATACAAAAACATTTTTTAATTAAATAAAAAAGAATGATGGGGCCAGCAGGAAGCATAAAGGTTAAGGCATTGGACTCACACATGGTCAATGGTGGTTCAAGTCCCAGACTCAGTGACTTGAAACTAACACTGGACATGTGCACATGTGTGCCCAAAATCCCAAGAGAAGAATGGAGGAAAGATGACTGCTGCATGGGCATCCCTCCAGGGGAATGATTTCTCAATTTATGTCTGTCTGTCTTTCCAGTGAGCAGATACACCTTATAGCAAAAGTCTCTCGAGAAAAAAAAAAAAAGAAAAAGAAAAAAAGAATGAACCAACAGTAAGATTGCCATTTATTTTCTTAAGAGTTTGATTTTTGTGAGGAAGTTACAATGTTCTCTATATTTTCATTTTTTTACAAGCTGTAGCTCTGGATGGACCAGCTGGTGGCTTGGTGGTTAAGGCAGCTATATCCTACATAGTTGACTGCATGATTTGAGTCTCAGAACCAGCGGCTTGAAAAACACACCAGGCGTGTGTGTGTATGTGCCCAAAATCTCAGGTCATCTATCCTGAGAAGTACTTTCTCACTTCCTCTCTCTCCAGTGAGTGCACATACCCTATAGTAAAATAAATAAATAAATAGATAAAAGCTATGGCCAGAAACTATTTGATTGTTGCTAATTAAATGAAGAAAATCATAGACCACCAGCCATGGAAAGGACAGCAGACTTAACAAAAGAAGATTGGATTTTATTTTATTTTATTTTATTTTGGAGAGGTTTTTGCTACAGGGTGCGTGTGCTTGCCAGACAGACAGACCGAGACAGAGAGATAGAAAGCAATAAATCACCCCCCGGGGGGGGATGGTCACGCCGCAATCCCTTCTCCTCTATTCTCCTCTCGGGATCTTAGGCACGCACGCACACGCACCAGGTGCGAGTTTTAAGCCACCAGGTCTGGGACGCAAACCGTGGTCAACTATGTGGGAGTCCAGCAACAGAGCCATTATGCTAACTGCTGGTCCCGAAGATTGAGTT